TGCTGGGATTAAAGGCGTGCGCCACCACCGTCCAGCTAATTTTAATTTTCTTAAAATTTCAGATTATGTAACTATTCAAGATGGGCAAACCAATCTCAGTAATAGTTTATTATTACATATATTCGTAAGTGTGACTTTTGGAACAACTGAGAATTCTAGAAAAATAACTAGGTTTAGACTAACTGAACTCAAAACATGGGAATTTTCACAGCACTTTCATTGTAAAAACAATGAGATTTATTACCATTAAAGTACTTATTGTGCATTGTACCATATTACTTGCATACTACAGAGAAGGCTACATACTCAAAAGGGTTAGACTTTCCCACAATCACAAAGTAGGTAAATGACAGGTCTGAAATTCAGAATTGATATGAATCTAAAGCCTCTATGCCGGGGCTGAGGTACAGAACAGTAGTAGACTGCTTGTCTAGCATATGTAAGGCTCAACACATGCGCGCGCGCGCGTGCACACGCACACCACACACACACACACACACACACACACACACACAAACTCCAAAGTGATTGCTCAAGCATTTGTGCAGTGCATATAAACAATTACATGTGCTTACGTCACTGGCCAGACTCAGTCATAGGGATATGTGGAATTAAATGCTTTTTAAGAACTTAACACCAACCCTGTGATTCTACAATAAAGACTTTTAAAACAATCTTCATATAACTTTATACATAAAATACTTAGCATGATTAAACTAAATTCCAAGATAAGACCAAGGAGTACTTTATACTACTTTACAACTATCTTTTTTGGGGGTGGGGGGTTCAATACAGGGTTTCTCTGTGTAGTTTTGGTGCCTGTCCTGGACCTCGCTCTGTAGACCAGGCTGGCCTCGAACTCATAGAGATTCGCCTGGCTCTGCCTCCCAAGTGCTGGGATTAAAGGCATGCGCCACCACCGCCCGGCCATCTGTCTTACTTAGATAAAAAGAGGGGAGTGTAGATTCTGAATTTCCACAAACTTAAATCAGTTTCTATTTATTCGTTCACTGTACACAGGCTAAATACATGCTACTACTGCTCAGCTATCTCCCAACCCCAAGTATCAGTATTCACATTACCTTTCTGACACATCAGGATGTGGCTGAGTGGGAAGCGACGCTGACTCCCCTGACATTCCTGCTGCCTGCAGAGATGACGACTGCTGTCCTCCTAGCTGGCCACTCTGAACTGTACTTGCTTGTGCAGACATGGATCCTGAACCACTAGTGTTCATACTGCCAAAGGGTGGAAACGAAGGCAGTTTATTTGATGACACTCCACTACTCATATTGGAAGATGATGAAGATGAAGTTGTGGTCAAAGTTGAGTTAGCTGTGGCAACTGAAGTAGGTATGGCAACACCTGAAGTCACTGTCACAGTGCTACTTGCCGCAGATGCTAAGGTGGCAGATGGAGCATTAGCGTTTCCAGTATTTGTCATCTGAGGTGCAGTAAGCAAAGACTGATTTGAAGGGGCAACTAAATTTGGCTGGGAGAGCAGAGTGCTGTCCAACGGCTGAGAAGCAAGATATGGACCTAAAGAACAAAAACGGGAATTTAATTCTGGATTTCACTGACTTATTTTTATTTTACTAAAGAAATAACAGTTTCGATGATACTTTCATGGCAATTACCTTCCCTTAACTATTTTACTAACAGTGCAGCATGTACTAGCTTTATATTTTCTCCCAGAAACTAAAGAAACAAGTTTAAAATGGAACTATAAAAGTAAACCTATATTTTCATTCAAATTTAAGATAATCAGTATGAAAATTCTATTTCCTGGGCAAAATTAACTGTAAACAAAGGCTGACAAGATGGCTCGGTGATTAAGTTAAATCCCAGGAACCACAGGTAGAAAGAGAGAACCAACCTTGCAAGCAGTCCTGACTTCCACTGATTCGGGGACATATACCCCACCACACTCAAGTAAATAAACGTTAATAAAAAATTAGATACATCAACAAACGTGACAGCAGATGTAGCAATATTTCATCAAATCACTTCAAGTGTTAAATCACAAGCTGAAGAAATATCAATTTCAACTGATAGCTAACTAAAATATAAAATGGAGGAATAGTACCATGAGGTTCAATTTACAAAAATGTCTAATTAGGTTCCGTAATTTGGTATTGCATCTTTTTGGATTAAGTGTAAAGGAAGTCACTGATATTAAAATTTAAAAGTACTACAAAAAAGGTTTTAAATGACAGCCAATTCTCTTAGCTACAGTAAGACTTTTCCTGGAGTTGCATAGTTTACTTAGAAATTACGTGCATCTCAATTACTAGCAAATCACACATCTTGAAGTATATAAAACATCAGACCCCACAAAAGTAACAGAAAATATTTTGGAATCCATAACGTCTACTTGATAGGATGTCCACATATGAAGCTAGCAGAATTTCTATGTGGACAGTCAGACAGTACATATTTAACTTTGAAACCACAGCCTTTGCCACATCTACTCAGTTCTGATTTTACAGGACAAAAGCAGGCAGACAGAGCGTGTTTGGAAAAATGGAGATGGCTACATGACACTAGAATATTATTTTACAAAAATAGATGATGAACCAAGGCACAATGCTCACACTACTCTTGAAGAATGAATACAAATTTAATACCTAAATCGTATCTGCAGACTTGTGCATAAAGCTTGAGTTTAGAAAATGCTTCATTGTTACCATCAGCTGCCTGAGAAAACCATTCTGTTACAAACTTTTCTGAAAGCTTCTTTGATGCAGTAGCTCCCACTTTCATGATCCCGTCCGTCAAGAGTCGAGAAATAGGTCTGTGTTGGCCCAATCGACAGGACTACAAAGGCAGAATCAGGGAATTTACTATACTATTAGGGTACAGATAATAAATTACTTAAGCTATTTATTTAAAATAAGCTTTATTACTTGTAATTAACAAATGAATCGAAATATCATTGACACTGGTGAATTTCCTTTAGGAATTTCAAGCTGCTAATTTGTTTGTTTGTTTTTGATACAGGGTCTCAGGTAGCCCAGGCTGGCCTTAAGCTTGCCATGTAGCTGAGGATGACCATCAACCTTCTAATCTTCCTGCCTTCGTCTCCCAAATGCTGGGATTACAAGCATATACCGCCATCCGCAGTAATACATTTTTTGTTCCAAGATATGGTATCACTGTGTAGCCCAGACTGGTCTGTCTCAACTACTCAAATACATGAGTTACAGGTATGCACCACCACACCCAACATACCAAGGGTTACTTTAAAGGAACACATATGCCCTTGAGAGACCCCTCCAACACTATGTTTTCTGCTGTGACCCATGGCACACATACCTAACAAAGACTAGCAAAACCGTGGCAACGTGTAGTTCACTAGTAAGACAACAGACACCACCAGCAGTCTTCCATCAACCAACAGAATTCCCCGGTACATTTTAAAGATGAACTATAAATCAGAAAATACCTACCTCATAGATTGCAGTAAGATCTCTAAAAAAGCTTTTGGCTCCATTTAACAAAGCTTCATTCTCTGGACAGAGTACAACATAGGCTATATCTCTTTGAGATCCATAAGGTTCCAGCATAAGTTTCTCCCAGTAAGGGAGAGCAAATGGAGAAAGCACCAGAAAATCATAATCATAACCCAACAAAAACGTGGGAATTGGCAGTGGTTCCGGAGATTCATCGGTTCCTGAGTAATAAAGAAGGAAATAGGAAAAAGCCAATTCATGTTATCTTCTTTATTTCCAAAGCTAATAAAGTATTAGGATAATATTAAAAACACAAACATGTAAAACTAGCAATGATATATTTTCAGAATTAAAAATATCCTTAAGAGGTGATCTGAAAATATTTACGGCTATTTTAAGGTAATCTTGTTCTATAGCCCAGTCAGGTTGAACTTGTAGCAAGCCTCTTTCCCTCAGCCCGTTAAATGCTGGGATTATAGGCACAAGCCATCACACTTGGCATTAATTAATTAATTTAAAAGTAAACAGATTTATAATTACTATGATGAAGCATAGTTCATTTGTTTACCATAACATAAGATATACTATGTAACACTGTATAGAAATCAACAATACTATATTTTATTACTTACTTACAACTTGATAAAAATGGTATATCAAGTTAAATGTTCTTATCATAAAACATTTTTAGACAAAGAAAATGGCAAATTACCTTATTTTAAAATGAGGAAGGATGTGAACAAAGACAAAAAAGTAAAATACCTCTTAGACATGGAAAAATGATTCATCTCTTTAAAGAAAGTAACTTAAAATGAATACTAAGAAATAACTGCAGCACTGCATTCTATGTACTGTTCAATGCTCTTTACTGGTTTTTTTTTGTTTTTGTTTTTGTTTTTGTTTTTGAGACAGGGTTTCTCTGTGTAGCATTGGAGCCTGTCCTGGATCTCTCTCTGTAGACCAGGCTGGCTTCAAACTCACAGAGTGCTGGGATTAAAAGCATGCTCCACCGCCGCTTAGCCCAGCTCTTTACATTTCTATACTAATTCTCACAAATACTATCTATTGGCAAACACTGTTATTAAACTCATTTTAAACACAAGAAACAGGAATGGAAAAGATAAACAACTTGTCTAGTATGATAAGAAAAGTTACAAGTATGTGAACCAAGGACGCCTACCTTCAGCCTCTCAAATTATAGTGAAATAAAATGTTCTTTCGTTCAACTACCAGACAATCTACTGGCAAGTTTGAGATAGTAGATTTTTATCTGATGGAGTTTAAATTGATACTTTTGAGTATAATTCAGCAATATATAGTTTAAACTACACATATGCTTTAAGCCAAGCATACATGAATCACTTAAATGATAATGATGGAAACAATCTATATGTCTACAAATAGTATATTGGTAAAATGCATATATAAACTACATACACATATATTACATATATAAAAATGATAGGATGTAGACAACCACTTAAAAAGTAAAGGAAGATAGTTTCAAATGTGTTAACAGAAATAATTCCAAAATCAGGAGCAGATCGCTTCTCGGCCTTTTGGCTAAGATCAAGTGTAAAATCAGGAGCAGAAATAAATCTCTATACTGTGTTGTAGAATATTAGTTTAAGATGTGTTACATTTGTTTATGCTATTGAACATTTGTTTAATGATGCAAAGATGTGTTGCTTTTTTTTTTTTTTTTT